GTTTTCTATTTTTCCAGTTAAATGGCTAAATCGTTACCGTACACCAATTACTAGACGTATAACAGGTATTAACACCCGGATTGTATATTAACCTAATTATCATCCACTACATTGCTAATTAAGTTAGGAGAAAGAAAATGGGAAAGTGACTAGTAACATACTTTTCTTAATTATTTAGTGAGAATAATGGGCCAGACAGTAAACCAATTAATCCCGTTACCATCTTCCTCATGTCTCATTACTATGCCCATGAAAGTAGCAATTTTGTATCTAGAAGCCCGCATATGGTGGCACGGCGTGGATCTGCGCGTGAGGCAGTAACCAAAAAAACTCCGTTACTATATGTTTCCTAGAATTTACTAGCAGGTGGGGGGGAAAGAGCGATTAGGACAAGCAGTTTGTGCGACTTGGCCAGGCGGTGTGCGCGAGATGGGCGGAGCGCATTATTAGTGTTGTACGCGCAGGCTTAGTTTAGCACACCTATATATATATATATATATATATATATATATATATATATATATATATATATATATATACCCAAGACTCCAAAATCACGAATCCACAGCTTCCAAGCCACCCCAAGTCACCACCAAAGTTGATCAGATGAGTTTCGCAAGGCAGCAGAAAACTCTTATGCAATCTCTTTGTTCTTGGCGACTCAATCATCTCCTCGACGACCCCACCATTGTAGAGGAGCCCGTTGAAGTGCTGCAGGACGAGCCCGTTGTAGACGACCCCACTAAGTTTCACAACGGCCCGACAGTGCAATCTTAAGTGACGGCGCAATCCCGTAAAGTTATTTGGTCGTCACTTAAGATTGCACCGTCAGATCGTCATGCAACTTTACGGGAGTGATGAGGACTCAATCGTGCAGCACTTCAACGGTCGGACCGTCTTCAACGGTACATAATAGTTTTCTGCTGCTCGGAAGCTATGGATTTGTGGTTTTGGAGTCTTGGGAGGTAGGAGGGGTTCTAGGTCGGTTGGGGCTGCTCTAGGTCGGTTAGGATTGGATACGGAGTAAGTTTTGTCCTGCTCGAATCCAACAGTGGTGAACGAATCCGAAACCACTTGGGTTGGTTTAGGTCGCCTAAGAGAAGCTTCCGGAGGAGACGTCTTGGCACAGGGATAAGAAGGTTTGGCAAGTATGGGGTGTTGGTATTGGTTCCGAGTCCGAGTCGGAGTAGGTTTGGATAACCGGACCAAATGAGGATGACAAGTGGGCTGGATTTTGACTAGAAGATAGATATGAGCCCAAGTCAAATATAGTTCAAGACCTAGAGCATTTCCACTTGACATGGCCCGGTGAAAAAAAAATGCAATAAAGAAAATAAAGAGCTCAATTTTATTCTAGGCGTTAAAAAATCCTAGCTTAAACAATAACTACTATACTTAGCTAGAGTTTGAAAAATGGTATATTACACCGCTTTTCCTGTGCTGCAAAGTTCAGAATTCTAGCTCTGATAGAGCAGCCAAAGTTCAGAACTCTACCTCAGCCACCGCTCCAGACTGGGAGCTGAGGTTAACACTCAAGAAAAGGATGCTGACAAGCAAAAAAATCGGCCAGAGCTGCAGTGTAGCGCCTCCGCCTTCCAACTCCGCCACTCGCCCCTGTTTGCCGCCGCGGCTCCGCCTACCAATTGGCCATCGCCCAGCAGTCGGTGTTGCTGCTTCGCTTCCCAACAAGCCACCGCCCCCTTCCCCTTACCGTCACCGCGTCTTGGGCGTTTCCTAACGGGCCGCCGCAGCCTAGGCCCGCTGCCACGAGATGACAAGGGGAGAGAGGCCTGGAGAGAGAGAGGCTATAGGTTTTTTTTCCTTTTATGCGGTGAGAGTTGGGTGTCACATGCGCGTGATTTGAGCAAGGAATCGATCGGTTCCCCTGATTTGAAGAAACTAGCACGTTCCGCATATAGAGGGTCCGCGTGATTTGAGTGAGGAGCTATTCGGTTCCACCGATTTGGAGCACATTCTGCATATATGGGGTATATTCCCTTCTCTAGAATCAGTAGGTTCCATTTCTTCACGCAACCAAACACAAGAATGTGTTCCATATGGCTTGATCAATTGAACTGCATTACAAAATATGAACGCTTCGTCGCATCCCAAGTAAATTATTGTTAATCCTACAGCAAAATGGTGTTTGCTTCTCTTTTGTCTAATGACAGGGTCTAGTAAGGGGCGCTAAATTGACCTATCAATGGTAAAACTAAAATAGCTAAAGGGAAATTATCATAAACATGTATTTAAACCCGAGAGCAGCATTTACCTGTTCTGTGCTAACAAATAGCTTTGGGCCCATCAAGCTGAACTGAAGTGACGGGCACACAGGCTCTTTTCTATTTTGTCCAGCAATACCCAGTGGTACTGGAGCCCAAACTAGTGGAACTTGGAAATCTAAGAAGTATTGTAACTCTTCAATTGGGGGTTTGTCTGGAGTAAAAAAAATATGCAAACATCATTGAAAAGATACCATGTAATATGATAATGTTTAATCACAGCAGGAAATAGCAAGGACAACTACCCAACTCTTTGGTAGACATAGGAAAAAATTTCTCCAGATTCTAATCATTCAATAGCTATACTACTGTATTGAGCTACTGATTTAATCATGATTGACATTCTGACTTTAGGAAAGATATGTCTATCTTGATCATGAATACATCACCCTTACTAAACATACTTTTCAATACATACTCCAAATAGAAGAACTGTGCAGAGACTCTGCTACTATAATATATAGATAGCAATATAATTTAAAACAACAGCTCAGGTTTACGGCAAATGGACTTTGAGGATAGTCCAAAAAAGGAATCAGGTGCATGTCTTACATGTCAAGTATAGATCAATGGCACGAGCAATGTGCTTCTTCCCAGGTATATCATCGACGAGTGAAACAATAGGGAGAAATGTCATGCCTATGACATCTGGTGCTGACGAAACAGTTTTTATCCACTCAACAGAATTCTGAACAAGATCGCAACCTCCCCTCCTTCTGAAGATTACTGTCATGTCCTGTATATGGGACTGGAATTAGGATTTGCTTACAGTAAGAGGTGCAGTACACATATCACATATGTTATTATAGTTTTTTTTTCGAATTGAACATGTGTGACAGTTCAAAGTAGCTAATTTCCTACTGGTGATACTTTAGGCCGTTTTCAAAGACGAGTCAAATAAATAGACGCTATGTAATGGCATCTTGTAAACTGACACCACCCTCAAGGTGCATACATTGAGAATGTCCAATTTCCTATTGATATTATTATCAACACTTGCAATTAACAAGGTACTCCCTCCGTCCCAAAATTTAAGATCATTTTTTACGCTATGAACTGACTAACCTTTTCGCTATAATTGATGGGGGGTGCATTTGACTTGTTCTCCACATCTGAGAACCTCTCGTTCCCAATTTCTCTGACATAATTTCTGAACTCCATTTCAGACAATTGGGATGAGGAATGCTGCTTTATGTATACTTCATCCTTACCACCAACCATTACAGAAGTAATAATGTGTGTGCCGTAATTCTCGATAAAGCTGAGCAGAAATGAGACAAGGGCACCTTGTTATTGTATGATAAGGGCAGGTAATATGCAAAAAGTCATGTAGGACAGCCAAATGTAAAACTGACCCTGAGAGCAGGGTCAATGGAGAAGATTACCTACTGACCTAGCCAATGCTGGTGGATCCCAAATATATGGAATTGCGCGCTTTACACTCTCTTGTAGAACCAGTTCATCACTAGTTATTTTAACTCTATATAGCGGAACAGAATAGCCATCAACTGCAAGGGCCTTTGTCGCGGCCGCATCATTCTTCCAAGAACCAGTAAAGCTGAAGAGCGAGTTGAAGGAACCCAGCGGGACTGTTTCCAGCAAGCTCGCCTTCCTGTTGAAATGCTCCGCCATCTGCGCGATAAATGGTGGTGCCAATGTCAGAGACAGTGAAGGGAACGGCCACGAAGCCTAACATGTGTAGTACGATTTGCATAACAGCAGATTTGCATCACAGTACACCCAGAAGAGAAGAAGGCATGATGTAGTATATGCGTGCACGATCTGCTCAAACGCCCCAAAATCGGGACTCCGGTCCTGAGCACCTCCCTCACCTTGTCGAAGCTGCAGACGAAGGGCTCGTCGGGGGCGGCACCAGGAGGGGGCGGGCGGCTGCGCTCGGGGTTGCCGCGGTAGGCCTCTACCTCGACGTCGGGGGGCACGCCGCAGAGGACGCCGCCGCCGATGGGCAGGTCCCGCGCGCGGGCCTCGTCGAGCGCCACGAGCCTCCCGGCGCCCTTGCAGTAGAGCAGGCGGTGGTCGCCGGCGGCGTCGAGGCCGCGCCCCACCGCCTGCAGGGCCGCCTCCAGGGCGGAGCCGGCGAGGCTCATGGGCCCCTCCAGCGCTCCCCCTTCTCCGCCGCCGCCGCGAGATCCGTGGCGACTCAGCTTGGCCGCGGCAACCAGAGGAGAAGAGGCCGCTCCGGCGCCTGCGCTGCTCCTTCGTGG